AAAGCTGACCTCCATCTTCTTAAATATGCCAATGAGATTGTCAACCTCACCTGCAGCATTCTCCACTTCATTAGAGAGCGAGTCCTTACCGAAATCAAGCGAGGTCAACTCACTGATGTTTCTTCTCTTAATTTGGTTGAGCTCAGTGTTGAGCTTCTTGACAAACGTATCACAGTCATCAAGAACGTCATATCCGACTTCATCCAACATATCCTCGATCTCAGGATCCAACACAAGTTTGTCGCCCTTCTGAGATAATTCTGTTGATGGGGTCTCAGAACCACCCAAAGTAGGACTTTTTATGGAGTTTAATGCCAGATCATCGTAGGAAACGTCGCTTTCGTTGTCCTCATGTACCTGTAGCTTTTGAGGAGGTTTAATGGAATCCTTCCTGCTTGTGCTGGAGGTGAGCTGACTTTCCATGAAATCCTCGATCTCTTTGATAGAGCTGTTGATACCATTGTCTTCGAGTTGGGTTGATTCAGAGATTACCTGAGAAGCTTCAGGCTCTTCGCTCACTTCACGTGGAGCCTCATCTTGTGGGAATCCACCGGGAATAGAGGCCATGCGGTATTTGCGAGGTTGCTCTGGAGTGACCTCTTCATAAACTTCCTCAATGCCATCGTCAGCAGGTGGGGGAGTGACAGCTCTAGCTGAGTCCGTAGGTACCTTAAACTGGAAGTTAAGAGATTCCTGGGTCTCGTTTCCTTCAAGTTGCTCCTTGAGCTCATTACCGAATGCAGCAGATTGCTCAATGGGTTCTGTAGCATCTCTCTTACCTTGACTTTGGCGATCAGGCTTATAGTTCCTCAATGGCGAAGATGCACCACCATTATCACGAGCATACTCCGAAATCGAAGGCATTTGTGCCAGCTCATCCGCCTTAGACTTCTCCTCGCTTGGGCTGAAGACAAAGCTATGAGAATCAGCAGTTTCATTAGGATCGTTTGCAACTTCTCCCAGCTGCAGCTGAGAGAACTGGGAGTATGGATGCGACGAGCGGACGCTCTTTTCAGTTTTAGGTGCGGTATCGTTCGTGAAGACCGAACTCGAATCCACCAAGCTAGTCTTCAGGCCGGGCCGATCAACGTCCATAACAACCATCGGCTTGGTGGGCAACTTACCATTGGCGGTAAAGTCAAGACCCTTGTAAAGAGAGTTTGGATCGAAACTCTGGTTTGAAGTGTTCGCAGTAGTGTCGGCCAGCCTTGCAGTAGGTTGCTGTTGGAGGGAGGGATTAGACAAATTGGGGCTCGCTGTGGAGCCTTGAGGCTGTCCGACTGGCGGAAGGCCCAACTCTTGCAAGGTCAACCCCGTCAACACTGGGTATCTGCCGGTGAACTTGGCATATATCAGGGACAAGTGGTGGACAAACTTCATCATGCGCTCGGGGCCTTCGCCGGACTTCCAGTAATAGTCTTTGTTCAATTGCAAGATAAACGAGTCGGGACCAGTTCGGGTGATTGCCTGGAGCTCGTCCAAATCCCACGTTCTGCCGATCTGGTATATGTGTTTGACGTCATTGTATTTTCCCTTCTGAAGGAGCACTCTTCCAGAGCTTTTGGTAGCCACAACAAGGATTCTGTTCTTGATGGCGCCAACCTGACTGGGAGGGATGTCAGAAGGAGGTGGCAGTTGTGGAAACAGAGAGTACTCTCTGATGTTGAGGTGAGTGTTGTACCGAATCTCGGGCACATTGCGTCCCTCGCTGACAATGATCTTGGAGTAACAATCTCTGATAATCTGGTCGACAATCATCTTGCGGGGATCCACGGGCATTCTTGGAGGAGGAGCCTTCTGTGGAGCATTCATGGGCAACATGGTTCTGGGATTCTTAGTCAAAGGTCTTCCCTGAGGCGCAGCTTGCTGCTGTTGCTGCTGTTGCTTCCTTCGCCTGGGAGAAAGGCTATGGAAGTTCATTTTTGGATGCTAGTGCTGGGATCTGAGGTTGAATTGAGTTGTAGTTGGGGAAGTTTGAGACCTACCGGGAGTAGTAACAACGAAGCCACTCTGTGCACTACAGCCATACAGCCACTGACCGGGGGTCTCCAAGCAGCCAGGTTAGATGAACAATTGAGGTTTTAATAGATGAAGGACTTTTTGGTATTTGAAATTGATACTGGAGTGTTTGATTGTTTTGTGGAGGTTACTAGTTGTTGAGACGGCCACCTGTGCAACACCGTCTACGATACCGCAATTGTTGCAAATTCACGACAATCGAAGCGAATGCAGTGCCATTTCATGATGTAGAATTCCAAATCTCTAAAAGCCTACAATGACGAAGCTGTCCTGCCACGGTGGCTGTTGCCATGCATTTCGTATATACTGTAGTCATGCTGTCAGACAAGTGGCCGTCTGGTCCTTTTCCATGCAAGCTTCACCAGCTGACTTTAACATAAAGCTACACTTCCTTCGTCCCCTTAGGCCTGAGCCTTCTTCTTCTTCTTCTTGTCTGGGGCTGGGGATGCCTCCTTCACCTCGGATTTGTCAACATAGTAATTCCACAACGTCGACAACAGCTCCGAGCGATCGTCCATGGCGTGAAGTCTCCTACGCAACGCCTCATTGTAGCAGATCTCCTGAACAACAGGGAAAAACAGCGCAGGCCACTCCTTGTGGAACAGCTGGCACTCCTCAACGATATCTTTAAGCTCCAATTGCTGCACCTTCTGCTGCAACTCAAACTGCTTGTACACATCATCACCAATCAAGCCGTCCTGGTATAGTTTGGTGAACACAGGCTCGTTCTCTTTAAGCTTGAGCGATCTTCTGATAGCCTCCACAGCTCTTCTCAAAAGAGCAGCCTTGACCACCTTCTCTGGCGGCCTCTTGTCTTTAGACAACAGTTTATCTTGGTAGTTGCTCCTCAAGGACTCGTAGAGCTCCAACAGGTAGTTTCTTCCGAAAATGGGCTCTACAGAGACCAACTTATGGAGTCTGTGGCGCTTGTAAAGCACGGAAAATGCCGTGAATGCCGTGAGCATCACCGCCACGTAGATAAGCGGCGTGGCAAGGGACATCTTGACCACCGTCTTGGCGGCTTCTTCCTCTGGTTCGGCCATATTTGTGAGCTGTTGGTGATCGTGAAAACACTGTAAAGTTCCCACGTCGAGCACTTGGTGAGGTGCACGGGTGTAGATTGAGCTACCACGATAAGACCAGGGAGAGAGTCGGTGAGTGACCTACTGAAAAATTGGTGAAATTTTCAAAAGAAATTAAAAATGGCATGGGGATTTTTAATAGTGCTATGATTCCCCTAGTTTTGGTTCCTGGGGACCATGGGTAGCCCGTTTTTGCATTGGTTTATATTTTTTGCACCCAAGGATAGGGTGAGGTTGCGTTGGACTTTTAAACACAGTACCTCTTTTAGCCTGTGAAATCTTCATCGAACTATTTAGAAACTGTTCTTTGATATCGATCAGCTTGATATGAGAATACCACCAAACTTGTAAACTACAAAAGTCCACTGTGTGTTGTCTGGAACAATTGCCAATCCATGTTGATTAAATCTCTCATATCCCAATTCGCCAAATAATTCTGCCTGACATCACTTTTATCCAGAATACACAGCCTTCTTCCCCAGGCTATTTTTGAAACAAGGTTTTCTAGAACCTCAGATCCGACTAAGTTTCAAAAGCATATTCTATGCAACCCACCAGAAAAAGACTCTTCTCAAAAACCCGGATACCGTCCAAAGCTATAAAATTAGCCGAGATGCCTTAATTACACTGTCACCAATCGGCGTTAGGACGTGCATCATAGACATTGTCTTATTCAAGAAGTTGGCGTCACAATGGGACTAATCCCTCGCAGAGGGCAGAACCAGTTCCTATTACAGAAACGCACTCGTCTACACGATCAATCGAATACTGTTTGAAAATGAAATGGGCTCAGTTTTGACGTGGAATTCGGCGCTGTCAATGTCTCTCAAATTCAGGATAGAGGTATTTCTGCATCTTGTCCAAAAGGGCATTCTTATGAGCCGCCTAAGCCGGGACCGATATACCCAGACATCTGTATTGAAGGCACCAATTTTCCCAATATTTTACATCAAGCAACATCTCGTAAAATAAGGGTATATCCCAATCCAAGAAGCTACTCAACCTTCCCATAGATTCCGTGCTATCTGTTCGATCAGCTCGCGTATTCTCGTTTATGCGAGACAAAGCGGGATTACGTGGGACACATGGACAAGAAAATTACCCACATTTTTCTGGGCTGTCAGGGTATATATACCTGGGGAGAGCACGGCTGTTTTTTTTTTTTTTTCCAGCAATGAAGGGCCAGCTTAGCTTGATCAGGGAGTCCCCTGAGTATTCAGGGTTCCCATGCAAAGAACACTTTGTTTCGCAGCCTACGGTGCCCTCTGATTTCACCCAACACAGCACCTATACGTATCTTCTGCCCAAGCCGGACTTGGGAAGACGCCTTCAAGAGCTCAGCAAGACCCCTTCAAGAGACAGCTCCTTTGATGAGCTATTGGAGTAGAGCCATGAGGAGAATTTGATACCAAGGAGGACAGCAGATGGGAAGAATCCCGCCGAGACAAGATAGAAGCCACTTCTGCTGCAAAGTGCTGGGGATGGACACTGACACGAAGTTAACGAATTAATGAAACGTACATTAAAAAACGAATTGTAGTTTGGTGGATGGACATCTTGTCAGTAGAGGAATGGAATGACTGATTGTCAGCCCAACCAAGTGTAGACCCTGACTTGTCTCTATTGCTGTGCATTCATACACATATATTTTCAAGGAACTCATATTCCACGGTTATGCCCCTTGAGGTCAGAAGGGTTCCGTTGCAATTCCGTTCTAGAGCGCTAACACTAATAGGGAACGTGAACTCCTAATCGAAGACCAGTCTAGGCCACTTCAATGCTTCTACCTCTTGCTGTATCAATCCGTTCAATTGAAAAAAACTATTCGCCAACTACAATACCTCCTTCCTTGCTCATTTATTCATCAAAATGTATTAAGTAATATAACAGAACGAACGCCTAAAAGTTAAGAGCGCCAGGCATGGCCACCAGGGCCTGCTGATCAGGGGCAGCGTCAGCAGATCCCGAAGAAGCGCCAGCACCGGGGGCAGCGGTGGTGGAGGCGCCGTGGCCAGCAAGACCAGCTCTCAGGGAAGCACCAGAGCCAAGTGTGTCAGACTCCTGGGTGCCAAAGGCAGTGTTGGCGCCTGGGGTTCTCAGAGAACCAAAGGCCAGACCGGCGGCAGCAGAGCCGGCTGACCCGTAGGCACCCGAGCCGAGGCCCGATGTGTTTGGTTGGTTTGAAAGGTTGGAAGATGGCTGGGCGGACTGCGCTGGGTACTCCGAGGCAAGGGCTTTCGATTGTTGAGAGCCTGCCACTGGAGGAGTCACCAAACCGCCGTGGGCATGGGTGTCTTCGGAAATCAGACCGCGGCCTAACTGGAGCAAGAATGCACCGTTCTCGTCGGTAACAGCGCCAGAGGCATCCACACGCAACTCCTTCGTCTTTTCTAAAATCTCCGGTCTGCCCTGAATGGCAGCCACAGCCTGCTTGGCCAAGTCACGGGCAGCGTCCGTGTCCTTGACGCCAATCACCTTGACATTCTGGTAGTGGCTGGGTTCGGGCACACCAGACGAGGCAGTAGACGTACTGGGGTAAGGCTCGCGGTAACCGGAGCTATCGTGGGTGGCAGAAACGTTGCCAAGAGTGCCCTCCTGGGCCTGGTCCTCAAGTTCCTGCTTCACCTCCTCATGTTGCGAGTGGTATTTTCTAGGGTCCACGTCGCCTGGGTTCAGCAGGTGGAAAGTGGCATCAGGCTGTTCGTGGGACTTGCCCTGCGAGGCGAGGCCCAAGCCTGCAACACCGGCAGTAGCGCCTGCGACTCCAGCGGCTGCGGCAGTACCGTAGCCAGAGGAACCGCTCTGTGGCTTCACATCGCCGAGTCTTCCCTCCTCGGCGTACTCCTCAAGCTCGTCCTTGACTTTTTCGTGCTGGGAGTGAAACTTTCTAGGGTCCACTTCCCTAGGGTTGGCTTCGTCAAACGCAGCATCTGGCGCACCATGGGTGGTCAGGCCAGTGCCGCGAGAGCCCTGGGAAGCAGAAGTAGATGGCTGCTGGGACGCGGCAGCAGGCGCACCGAGGGCAGCACCGGAAGCAAAAGCTGCGTCTGGCGCGCCCAAGGCGGCACCGCTAGAACTATTAGTTTGCTTGGAGCCACTAGAGCCACCAGTAGGACCAGCAGCTCTAGAGCCAGTGGCACCAGCGCCAGCACCAGCGCCAGCACCAGCGCCAAGGGCACTAGATTCCGGCTCAATGGCACCAAGACGACCTTCCTGGGCGTATTCCTCGAGCTCATCCTTCACGTGCTCGTGCTGGCTGTGGAATTGTCTGGGGTCGACGTCACGAGGGTTTTCTTCGTTGAAAGCAGCATCTGGAGTCTGCTTGGAGTGGCCGCCGCGGTTCGCAGCGTAGACTCCAGCGGCGCCAGCGGCGCCAATTACTGCAGCAGACCCTGCGCCGACGCCGCTGCCTCCAGCAGAGTCAGTAGGCTTGACATCACCGAGTCTGCCCTCCTGGGCATCTTGCTCGAGCTCTCTCTTCACCTCCTGGTGCTGCGAGTGGAACTGACGAGGGTCCACGTCGCGGGGGTTCTTTTCGTCAAAAGCGGCATCTGGGTGGGTGGAGCGAGAACCAAGGGCTCCAGCGCCAGCGGCGCCAGCAGCACCGCCAGCAGCGGCACCTCCAAGGGCACCAGTGGCTCCAGACAGTTCCGCCTGGCGCTGGGCGCGCTCGGCTTCCTGGGTGCGCTGAGCGTCTCCGGCGCCTTTCTCAATGTAGATCTCACGCTTGTTGGCATCCACCACGATCTTGCTGTTCAGCACATCCTGGCCCTTCTTTTCAAGATCACGAGTGGCCTTGAGCGCCACCTTCTGTGCCTTGTCACGGTCGGCAATGCCAATCACCTCGACAACTGGTTCGTTGCCGGCAGAGCTGGAAGAGCCAGCGCCTGCACCACCCAGCTTCTGGTGCTCCACTCCAAGACCTCTCTCCTCGGCCAACTTCTTCACGCCGGCCGCGTACGCAGACTCAATAACGGTCTTTTCGTGCAATTCCTGGCTGGAGTATTCAGGGTTGCCAGAGCTGCCAGTGCCAGCGGAGCCAGTGCCAGCGGAACTGGCACCAGTGTTGGCAGACTTTTCACCCTGGTGGCCCAAAACCTCTCTCTTGCGGGCCTCGCGCTGTTCCTGCGTCACATATGCCTGGCCCAGCACTCTAGGCGCAGGGTGGTTGCCGCCGCGCTCGGGCGCATAGTAGGGCGACTCCTGGTAGCTGCCCAGCGATGGGGCAGGTTTGGCGGCTTCAGAGTGAGCCGTCTCAGCAGCGGCCTCCTCAGGACCGACAGCAGCCATGGCAGTTGGCTTTAATTCATTAGTGGGGCGTGCGATGCCTCGGCGAGGCACCGGCGTTCGTCTCAGAACGGGTAGCCTCAGAAGCACCAACTTCGCCCAACAGGCCAACCTTACCGCCCAGGTTAATGAACTCAGACTTGGGGTGCAAGGCCACATCGGGCACCTGCTGCACATCGTCCTTCGCGCCAGAGGAAACCTCCTCACCGCCAAGGTCCAGTGCACCCTGCAAGCCCTTGGCGTGGTGCAACTTCAGAATCAGTGGGTCCTCCTGCTCAGCAATGTCAATCAAAGAACGGCCGTCGTTCTTGATACCGTGCTTCTTGTTGTGAGCAGCAACCTCCTCTTCCAACTTGGCCAGGGAAGAAGGAGTCAGCTTGGTGTCCTTCTCGGAATCCTCTCTCTTGCCCTTAGGCTCGAGACCAGGAACCTGCTGAACATCGTCCTTCTCCTTGTTGGTCACATCGCCTGCGGCCTCGACGGTCGCGTTCTTGTTGCCCTTGTGCTTGGGCTGCTCATCCACCTCGCGCGAGTTGGCTGCGGCAGTCTCCACAAGGTTGCTCTTTTCAGAGCCAGTACCAGAGCTAGAGCCGCCAAGAGCAGAAGAAGCACCAGTGCCAATAGCGCCGCCAGTAACGGCGCCGGCAATAGCACCAAGGGTGGAGTTGTTGCCAGACTGGCCAGATTGACCAGACTGAGTTGGCTCCTCACGCTTCTGCTCCTCCGAGGTCGAGGTCTCAGACTTGTTGTCACCGCCAAAGCCAAATCTGCTAAGGAAACCGCCAGAAGACTGGCTGGTCTTGTCGCTAGCAACGTTCTTGGCCTCTCTGGCAGCATGGTCGGGGTCGTTTCTAGTGTCGACGGAGCCAGCAGCAGCGGCAGTCTCGGGGTGTCTGAAAGATGGGTCCTGCAAGGATGGGTCGCCGCCAGTAGAGACAGCGCGGGGGTGCGCGGCCTTGGAACCAGTGGTCTGCGAGTCGTGGGTAAACTCATCCTTCTTCTCGTTCAGGCCCTGGCCGTAACCGAAAGCAGCGCCAATGGCACCCTTGGCCGAGTCGAGGTAGCTTGAGTTCTCAGAGCGGGCCAGCTGGCTGTCGCTCTCGGCCTTTTGGGCATCCGCCTGCTTGGACTGGATCTCAGCCTGCTTGGCCTGAGCCTCAGCCTGAGGGTCAGATTCGCGCGAGGCGTCCTGCGAGCCGCCTAAGCCAAAGGCTCTGGAAGCGAGCACTCCAGCCGCGCCAACGGCACCAGCCGCGCCAGCCACAAGACCAGGTCCGTGGCCAGAAGACTCGCCCTGGGCGCCCTGGGCACCGTAGCTGCCCTGACCAGCGTTCTGACCAGCATTCTGACCAGCGTCGTAGGCGCCCTTCTTGACACCAGCATCGTAGTACTCCTTGAACTGCTCAGTCTTGGACTGGTGGGTGGTGGCATCGCGGGAGGTGCCAGCGGCGGCGCCAGCACTAGCAGGACCAGTGGAGGAGGAAGTGCCAGGCTGGTTGGTGGCCTTGGTCTGGTCGTGCGACTCGCTGGATCTGTCCTTCGCAGCGTAGCCTGCGCCTGCGCCCACAGCAGCACCGGCACCTGCGCCCGCGAGGGCTCTGCCGGAACCAGAGCTGGTCTTGGAGGCACTGGAGCCACCTGGAGCACTGGAACCAGACGAAGCTGGAACAGCGCCAGAGCTAGAGGTGGCACCGGCACGTGGGTCCAAAGTGCCTCTGCTGTTGTGGATCTCGTCAATCTCCTTTTGCGTGGTGGCAATGTTCTGGTCCAAACGCTTGATCTCAGAGTCGTAGTCAAACTTGTCGCCAGATGGTGGCTCGCCAGCGTGCACAATGTTGGAGCGAGCGTCCTGGGTGTCCTTGGAACCCTTGGAGCCAAGAGCAGAACCGGCGGCAGCACCACCAGCAGCTCCAGCACCAGCACCGGCAGCAGCGTAACCGGCGTTACTGCCGCTGTTGCTGCCACCCTCGCTCTTTCCACCGGTAACCTCGCGGTAAGCCTGCTTCACGCCGCCCTGGTTGTAGGCAGATTTGTTGTGCGCGTGCTCCTCCTGCTCGTTCACACCAGAGCCAATCTTGCCCTCTTCGGCCTCAGCACGGGCCTTCTCCTTGCCCTGCTGGTGCAACTCCTTGGCCTGTCTCTGGCCCTTGGCGTACGCCTGCTCAGAAACCTTGTTGGCCTCGGCCTCCTGCTTGTCCTGCTCAGCGTAGGCAGTAGGCTTGGTCTTCAAATTGTCGTAAGAAGAAACCTCTTGTTGGGTGGCCTCGGTGTACTCGTTGGAGCCGGAGCCAGAACCGCTGCCGCCACGGCCTGCTGCGTATCCGAGTCCAGCGCCTGCGGCGCCTGCGCCCGCGGCACCAGCATAAGCACCTCCGTGGCCTGAGGTAGAGCCGCTAGCAGAATTGCTGCCTGAACTGCCGTAAACTCCACCCTGGGTGTCCTTGGGGTCGTAGAACTTGCCCTTGCCCAGAACTGGGCTGGCCTCGTTGTCGTATCTAGGCTGGGAATTGTCCAAAACGGCTTTGCTCGAATCGGCGCCAGTGCCGCCTGCAACCTCCTCAGGCCTCTTCTCGTTGGCATAGTCTCCGCCCCAGTCCTTGTCCAAAGGCTCGCGCGAGCGCTTGGGAGGCAGCGAAACAACTCTGCCCTTCTTCAGCGCACCGTAGCCTGCTGCCGCACCGCCGCCGGTACCCAAAGCTGCTCCTGCTGCACTTGCAGCGGCTGGGTCAGACTGGCTGCCAAAAGTCTGGCCTGGCGCCGCGGTGCCGGTGGTGTTTTTGCCCTGAGCGTGCGAAAGCTGCTCATTGTCGCTCGACAGAGCACTCAGACTCGACGTATCCTTGGTGGCGGACCCGAGCTCAGCATGGGCCTGGCGCTTGCCGGCCCGGTACGATGCTCTTAGGATCTTTTCGTGTTTTCTCTCTTTGGAGCTGAATGTCAGCTTAAGTTTGCCAATGAACCCGTCTGTCATGTTTGGTCTGCAAAAATAGCCCCATTCTAAGCGCACCGCTTGCTATATATACTGGCGCTGGAGCAATTAACTGTTTGCTAATCATTCCTACTGCAGCTGGGTCCACCGGCCCCTGGCCGCAGCCGCACTGCACCTGTTGCTTGCTGCGACACCTCGTGGCGGTGGTGGCGCTTGCTGGGGCGACAGAGATCGTCTAAATTTAAAAAAGAGCCATTTTGCCAAACTCAATTCCTCCAATTGACCGCTTTTCGTTCCTCAATGGCTCCGAAATCCCCACCAATTCGTCTTTTTTCATACACCCCTGCGCGGCATTGTCCTGCTTGTCGCTCTGATCAGCGCCCCGTCATTCGGCTTCACTGGCGTACTGCCTTGACATGACGTAAGCACGTCAGCAACGTCACAAGAAACTCAGACAACGTTATTCTGCAGCGTCTTGCAGCAGCAAAACTATGGCTGCAAAGTCGGTCCTTTGCTGAGCGCCTCACCCGTCAATTTTTTAGCGGCTGGCATGAAAAAAACCTTCCTTCTCTGAGACTTTTCCAAAATCTGGTCCTTCGGTGCCGCCTCTGCCGTGTTTGCGGCCACACTTCGGCTAGGCAAGATAAGTGCCGCTGCTTGACACATTTTTACAAGAGAAGTTGCGAAGAACACTTATTGTAGCTTTTGCAACGCCTGCTATTAGTACTTACGATTGTGGACTGCCGATTGTGGGCTGCATGGTGACACCTCCGACGCCCGGTAGCTTTTGTCTGTATCTGGGCCTATTGTCTGCTCATCGATCGTCGGTGCAAGTGAAGGTGAGCCACACCGGTGATACTTACTGTAGGGAGAAAAGCCTTCAGATCTGGATCTGGGCGGTGAATGTGGGCGTTTGAATCGAGCGGCTTCTTGCCACCGAGGGCTACCGATGGTGGGGCTTGTTTCGAACGTCAATGATCGGACCGGTTTGAGGGAGCAATTTGCCACGATGGGGCACTCAAGGGGGAAACTGAGCTTGTAGAATGCTTGGGCTCCGATCGAGAACAGGGATGCTGCAATGTGGCGAAGGCGACGTATTTGAATGGATAGATCTGATGCACAATATGCCATCGACTTTGATAAGCGATTGGACGTGAGGGATCGAGCTGAGATTCCAAGACACCTCCTTTATTTGGCTTGAGTCTCCGAATAGAGACCTCTGAGCGATCTATGTAGGGATCTGGTGAGGCAATTTGGGTATATGAGCCTGGTATTCTCAGAATTGGGTCCAATGCACACTGGAGGAAACCCACAAGACCAGAGATGCAAAGAGAAATCTCTCATGAATAATTTTTTGCTCTTCCGTTTGAAAATGCCACCTTATCGATAGCCAACCTCATTTTTGATGGTGAGGTGAGGAGCTTGGACCATGAGACCGCCACGACAGTGTGACATGCTGCCAATTACACCTGCACTCCTGAGTTTCTCCATCAACAATGGGAAGACTTCCTTGCCAATACAAAACTCATTTTTGTCCATCTCTCATGTCTCCACAAGCCACTCTTCCCTTTCTCCACTTATTTGTACTCTGGTTTTCGGTTACCCTTGTTGTATGCCAACCTCGTAACTAACCATTCCAAGCTTTCCTTCAATCCCTGGTTCTCAAGGACGGACACTGGTAACAACTTCAGATCGGTCGCCTCAAGCTGACTCACCACCTCTATAAACACTCCGGTCTTCAAAGACACCAAGTCTACCGCCTGCGGCAAATCCTGTTTGTTTGCCAACATTAGAATAGGCACATTGACACTTTCTCCTCCGTCAACCTTCCACAGCGAGTCGTTGGCGATTTCCATAAGCGAATCGTAGCATTCACTGAACCGATCTGTATCTGTGGAGTCGATAATGAATATGATACCGTGGCACGAACGGTAATAACGGGACCACATGCTTCTAAGCAGTCGCTGACCGCCCAAATCCCAAAATTTTAGGTTGATGTTCTTTAGACTAGCAGCTGCACTGCTTGCATTCTCACTAGGCTTGAACCTCACAGTAGTTGTATTCTGACCCACTGTAGGTAATATTCTCTTCCCCTTGAGAATCTTCACCGAGTCTGCTTGACTCGATGACTCCTCTTCTGTATCAATTCGCCTTCCAGCACTGGCATTACGCTTGGTCTGCTGCGCCAGGGTCTCATTCGGAGAAGGGTATAGCAACTTGAGGTGCTCGAGAAACGTCGTTTTCCCGGCATTGTCAAGCCCTAGAATAAGGACGTTATACTGTTCTCGCCTGCTGTATTGCGTGTAGAGCGACAGCGCTAAGTGGAACATGAAAAGCTGATGTGGTTGGTTAAGGTGGATGTGATTTTTGCGCGCTCTATGGATCTAGGGAAACAGTCGGTGTTTCTCCGAAAAGGTGTTAAAAAAATATGTTGGTGGGGTTTCGGTATTAACGTGATCGAGATGAATCGAAAAAGATGTTCTGGTATAAGTTCGGTGTTGGTGTGGTTCTGGAGGCGATCGGCTTTTCGCAGCCATTTCTCGAACCGACATCCGCAGAGCAGAATGTGAAAATGTAGACGAGTGAGACAGGATGAAAGAGAAGTGAATCTTACAAATTTGCAAAAAATGAAAACGAAGGAATTAGCAATACAGCATTTCTAGTAAAGCGAAGAAGAATTAGACCATAGACAATTATGGCCAGTATCTGGGATATGCCCTTTTGCCACTATGCTCCGTTAGGATTAGGGCTTAAGGTGCAGTGAGGTACAGATCCGTCTAAGCCATCATCAGAATGCAAGTGTACTAAAAACATGAAGCATTTCAGATGCAACGATTCAAATACTGAAAGCCTTGTGAGTCTCCCTGTTCTAAATTTCTCAAAAAGACAATGATTGAACTGGCTGCAAATGGATAGTGCAGAAGCCTCGGTTCACACCCGTGCCGCAGAACTGCCTATATAAACCACCTCTGCTCGAAAATCGCACATCAGAACTTCTTTCAAGTATGTGCTTCGATGCTTCAGATGATGAATATACAGATAGGGACAACTGATTCCAAATGAAGATAGTTGTCATTCGATAGTAGAACTTTATTCTGAATGAGCTATTGTGAACAATCACTAACAACAGGCAATGACATTAAGTTGAACATGAGCTCCGAAGGACATAGCGGTGCCATCACCAAATGGCTGAAGCTCATTACGATTGGAAGCTACCATTTCTTTTACCATGGCAAGTTGGATATCTGCTCAAGTAACCTCAACCGAGGTCTACTGTGCTGGATTTCGAAAGTGTCTTATACAATGCTCTTCTACTCTCCACAATCCGGAAGACAAATGAGTGAATTATTTTTAACTCATTATTCCACGGATCTCTCTTTCAATTTCTGACAGCTTCCCGTGAGAGATAAGTTGTTTTTCACTCACACGAGCTATAACTCACTGCAACTCCTCTACTAACCAACCATAATCTAGGCCGTTTTCTAAATTCTCAAAACCTGAAGTTTATCAAACCCCTTTGGAACACTACCTATGACCGAACCGTCCAAATTGTGAACTATAACGGCCAATCACCGTGGCATCTGTAGTTGCATCTAGAGAACATTTTACAATGGCTGCGAAATCTCATAACACTTCTAAAGCCTATTTCAGCATCTACAACAAAAACGCCAACCAGCTTAACGAAAGGTGGCAATTGAAACAAAACATTTTAAAATTAAACTTTTTCAAACCATATCCAATCAGACACCTCCCTCAAAAGCACGTTCTTTCATTATGGTCGGGTCTTGGACCGCGACGGTGTGCAGGCCATGCCCCTAGATAGCGAGCCTTAACGAACAGCTAAACCACTGTTTATCCATGTCATTCAAACTTCCCTCTTTTGATCTCAAGTCGATCCAGGAATCGCTCCCTAAGGTCGACCTTGACAACATCACCAAGTCGTTCCAGAACAGCGGTAAGGCTGTGCTGGAGTACCTGGAGCTGTTCAAGGAGTCTATTCAGCCCTTCACCACCAAGACCCAAAACTTGATCTCCACCCAGTTGCACCAGGTCCAGCAGTTGGCTCACACGCACATTGGCTCCAACATTGAGGTGTCTGAGTTGCCTAATGACTACTTGGATTTGGAGAAGAGCTGCGATTTGTTGTTGAAGTTGTACACCGACTTGATCCAGTACACCAACGAGACCTACGGTGTGGTCAGCTATGACTACCCTCCAGGCAACACTGCCATTTCCAAGATCCGTGATGCCAACGTCGGTGGTATCTTCTCCAGCAAGTTCAACCAGTTGAAGAACGTGTCTACTCCTCAGGAAATGGAGAAAGTGCTTTTGGGTGGCGCCGAGGAGAAGCCAGAGCAAGACGAAGGTACCGTTGAGGTCCAGACCATCTCTGCTCAGTTGCCCAAAACTCTTTACGGCCAATTAGCCACAATCGCCAGCAAGCACAGCGAGGACTTCAGAGAGTCGTCCAACACCTTGTCGTTCGCTCTTTTGAAGATCTCTTCCACCTACACCGAGGTGGCCACCTCCAGATTGGAGCAGGACAAGAAGGTCTTGGCTGAGTTGAACCACGCTTTGGTCAAGATTTTGAACGAGCAGTTCATCAAGGTCAATGAGTTGAGAAAGCGTGTGTACAGCGCTAGACTGGAGTTCGACTTGGCCAGATCCAAGAAGACTGGCACTCCTCAGGATGAGGAGGACGACGACTTGATTGCCAAGGAGGATGAGTTGGTGAGTGCTACCGAGGTGGCTGTGTTGGAGATGAGAAAGCTTTTGAAGCCATCCAAGAATGTCGACCTCTTGAAGGTCTTCATCAAGATCCAGAAAGAGCATTTGGAGGTGAGTGCAAAGAAGTTGGGCTCTCTTTTGTCGGAGTTGGACAAGATTGAGTTCAAGGACGAGGATGACGAGTAGTATATATGTGCCTAATACAGATAATTGATTCATTCAGAAGAATGTACCGTGATTTAGTGATGTGTGTTGGCTTTCAATTGGGTGAATTCTTCAAGAGATTATTTCTAGCTAGAATAATTGTGGTCTCT